ATTTCATAAAGTGTATATGCGCTCAGTTGCTTTGAATGTATTCTCAACGATTTCACTTTCACTTTCACTAACACTCACCTTGCTCTTGTTCGCCATTTCCTTTATGGAGTTTTCATCTTCAACGTCTGCCAAAATAATGGGTATCTTACTAAGGTCCTTGCCTACTTTTTTACCGGCTACTTTCAAGACATTTTCCAATTTAGCCTAAAACGCATTGAGTTTTTTAATAAAACTACGATCATTTTAGTGCCTTAATCAGAGATTTTTTTTACCAAATTCCTTCCGGCAATACCCCACGTCAGTCCTTGCAACACCTCCGGCGCATTCTCAACGACAATTTTCCCAGTGAAGCCGGTTGCACCGAAAATTATTGCATCCAATTTTGTCGCCATTTCGAACTCGAATATGATCTAAGCACTATGGCACTTTGAAATGTTGACGCCTTGAATGTCTTGTAATAACTAACTTCGCATAATATATTTACAACTGCTTTAAGTGTCTTTCAAATCGATTTTACAAGAGCTTGCGAATGCACCCAGACACCTCTTCCTAAATAACGCAAGCTATCTGGGTAGCAGAGAGAGAAAAGTACAATATATTGCATCGAACGTAAGTGGCTTCGTTAAAGCCTGATCATGTCAACTTAACTTAACTTAAATTAACGGAACGTAGAACTTGGAGAATCAAAATGAAACAGATTTCGACGTAGCATTAAGTTACTTTAACTTTCGGCTGTTCAATTATAAGCAACACCCATTTAACGGAAATTTTAAGAGAGAGCCGTAAGTTATGTTAAGTTGCCATAATCAGACCCTTACACTCGGCATAGTGCCAATTTTTCTTATACAAATATTTCATACATAAGTCCATACTACATACATATATATATTATATAGGAGTTTTGTGTCTCACAGGTTTTCCGACTCTTCGAACGAAATAATAAAATGTTGGTCCTTCCCAACATTTGTAGCGTTATTATGGACCTGAGCTTCTCCAAGTTTCCAGTTGTTTTTTGGATTTTTTTTTGCAGAGAATATAACTTCTCTTATTATTGTGCTCAGCCTGATTTTGGTTGGAACACAGCCGAACGCATCACCCCACTTATATTAGTTGTAAAGCTTATAAAACAATTTAAGAGGAATTATGTCCAGACACAGAAGATAAACCGGAGTTGCCATGTGTTTGCTAGGTTTATGGAAATATTTGAATGAAACACTCTCAAGGCAACAGAATGGAATAAGATTCTTAGGGGTTTTCAACCGTCTTGTTTTTGCATTAAATATCATTGCTCATAAATTTGATTGGACTGTTATTTAGAGATGGAAGAAGTTCCAATAGTTGCACGATTTATTTTAACAGACCTTTGTTGGGTTATAGGACTTCTTTGATCCGCGTAGAGTTAAGCGATGTTTGTAAACTGAAACAGGTCACATGCTTCTGGGTATGGTGAACCGATTCTACGTGATGTCCGATTCTAGTAAGTACTTCTCAGTGGCACATAATATGCTCTGCTGCTTCTTGTTTCTTATGGCAGCCTGCACTTGCCAAGATCGGTAAATGTCTCTCACACTTTAGTGACCAGTAAAAAAAAACTATAAAATCTTTACTTTGTATCTAGTATGGTGAAGGGGTGCTTTGGCTTTCCAAGTTGATATTTACCAGAGGAAGAATTAAGCTTGTCAATTATATTCCATACTTGTCCAGCAATGTGGCGCGTCCTTATTCATCCCGTTATAATAATTTCGCATAACCCAACTCAGTCGCACACAGATAATTGCACTGTGTTCGTGTACCCAATGTGGAAATTCCGGTACCTGGATGCGATGAAAATTAAACGATAATGACAATCCCAAACCAATTTCGGGATGACGACGTTGGCTATTAGTAGCAGGAGTCCTGATTTCAGAGTTGGTCGCACCACTTTTTATCAACTTAGTCTGAAAAACATAGATAGCTTGTCCCATTTTAGTGACAAGAAGGCTTCTGGGTTGGACACCATAGATCTCTTCTGTAGTCAGTATTCGAGTCATTACTATAGTAAATGTGGAAACAAGCGTACAAAGTTGATGTAGTTCGGCCAGATCGGGTATTTGCTGGCAATATGATATAGAGAGTCGAACCGAAAAAAATTTGGTCGGTCAACTCAGAAGTCTATAATATATATTTAAACCGAATTTCGGGCTGATTAAAATCTCAGGGTTTAAAAT